ATGAAGGAATTAAGTTTACATCAAAATTATTACTCGTATACTTATATATTCCCTTCTTTTATCAGTTTTTAAAGCTTTATCGACTAACGCATTTTTTGTATTCAAATATAGGCAAGTGTAGGGTATTTATGGGGCTGGATGAGCCACTGTTGGCCTTAGGGGCCTTCACAGATCGAGTGTAGGGTATGCAATTTGGTGAAGCTATTAGGTACAGCTGGTATTACTATTAGTACAGCATTTTGCAGCTTCTGATATATGAATCATCGCTATTCTACCGAGCGCACAAACATCACACAAAATAGCACCGGCTATGGATCACTTGCCACTGAATAGCAATGCCGTTGATTTGAGTTTAGTTGATAGTTAATTGTTTCTTGCAAGTATTTTTCACAATGGTATTTTATTCTGTGTTTTTTTTTAAACATTGCCCTTACTTTAGGATAACTTTGTCCTGTGTTGTAGCGACGTTTTACAAACATAAATTTCACGCGGATAAACACCCAGATGCGAAACAACTATCTGTGGGTCACACAAATGGTTGTCCCGTGTGGGAATCGAACCCACGACCCCCGACGCAAAAGCCAATCTTGAAAGCAGACCTTGGCCACTACGTCACGGAGTCACCAAGTGTGTTTATCTGTAATATAACAAGTTTTAGAAAATTTGCTAAAAATGTAAGTTTTTGATTATAACAAATCATGCATTGTAATGAAGATCATAAAATAGAAAAACTATGGACATATGAAACGTAGAAATGTCTAAGAAAAACGAAAAAATAAAGTTAATGGAGTAAATAGAATGGCAAATATGAATAAAACCCTGCGAAACATTTTATTTGCGATTTATTGAAGAAGGGTGGCTTATAATTGAAACAAAGAACTATATTCGTGTAGTTGTACTGATTTGGAATAAGCGAAAAGAGAAAAGAGACGTGTAAGGATCGCGGAGAAGGGTTAGTTTTTAGATATTTATTATAAATTGCGTTATTGTTATATAAGGACGTTCTATAGCCTTAATGAAAGTGGGAACAAATTGTTTGCCGTGTGTCATTATCAAAAATAACGATACATATTAACATAATTTGTGTAGAATTAGATCTTAGACGAACATCCAGCTTCCGAAAGGTCAATCAATTTTAATTTACGATTAATCTCTAGTTGATTTCTTCAAAAAAAACATGAGGTTTGTTCATTTGTGTTGCTAGATCGACTGAAAGTACGTTGATATTGATTTATAATTCATCACTTTACGGACGATCAACAGAAAATCGGGATTTTGAAGCGCTTTTCTTGATCATCGAGCTGTCAAAAGTTTGATTAGCTAATCTGTAAACTTTACCGATCAATCGTTGGTTAAAAATTTCCTTTTAACCAAAATCTCAGTTTTTAAAAGAAACAATAAACTTAATTCCACTAATGCGTCGTAAGTTATGCTATTCATATGTTCCCATGTTTAAAAATATGCTATTTCAAAAAGCTTAAGTATAATTTTTATTTTTATAATCTCAAAGAAAATTATAATTTTCATAATAACAATAAATAAAACAGAACAAATATCTGGTTTCGACCTTCCATGTCCGGGTAGAGCTGCGCATGTATTCATACAAGCGTAATTTAAACGGGAAGAATATCACCTACCATTGTTTTCACTTTATTAAAGGGACATCTATACAACAGAAAGAGACAATTAGTATTCGTTGACTTTTTTTGTGAGATGGTGGCAAGTGAGCTGGTGTTTCACCTAATCTTAAGTGATAACCGCCACATATTGACATTTGCAACTACCTGGCTGCAGATACGTTGCCACTTTTTAATGAAGGGGCTACTTTACTCGCCAGTCGAAACGCAGATGTAAAAGACTTCCAGTTGACGCCAATCTTCTGTGAGGTCGTGGTACTTACTCGGACTCTTTAACTGTGCCCCAATCACAGTTAAACGCTATTATAAAGATTGTTATACGATTTTTTCTTGAAAGAAACCTTTACGAAAACAAAGGTAGTTTAACAAGAGCTTAACAGATGATAATTTTTAACATAACGATTTTTGATTGCTTCTTTAATTGACCTTTCGGAAACTGGGCATAAAATTCACTTAGGTATTACATTGGCACTGGAAATTGAACTATCGAAATGTGGTAAGTTCCAACGTATCTATCCACAATGCAGTTTTCACCATCTTATAACTTCAGCGAACAAACTAGTTCTGCAAGGTTTTCCCATTATCCGAGACAGTGCTTACAATTTATGAGCGTCTGGTGAGACTATGTTGGAAAGGAGTTTAAGTAACCCTGTCCCAAGTTTTAAATTCGTTGCAAGGTAAAAGAAGTTTTGGACCTTTAACAATTTCTTAACAGTATAAAACACTTCTTCTCCGTGCAGCTAAGAAAGTGCTGTGGCAAAGTGTTATCCCTTTACATAAGTCCTTTATGAAGAAATTCATGAAATTGCAAATGCTAGTATTTCATTCAGATAAAGAAATAATATATTTGCTAGTAACCAGTAAAAAGAAGTAGAATAAAAGACGAAAAAGATAGACAAAGAATTTTATAATTATTTTAGCCTACACTGCTAATTTTAACCAAGCTTATGTTGGTTGTTGTAATGCATAGTCTGCATAATTTCTAAGCGTAAGTTTAAAAAAATTATTGAGACATGCATATAGGACAAACGCTTATACCTTACATTATTAAGTATACCAAGAAACAGCTGATACGCAGATTATTTTGCCCATCAGCTGAATTTGATAGAGGGAAGTGCCGAGGACTGAAATAACTCTATTTGAAACATGTCGGTGCTATGTGGCGGCATAACGTGCATAAATTATATTAGGTCGCAATATTTCGGTCGGTGGGAGTTTAACTAGCTTTCTAAATACATTTTCTACAAAATTTAATAATGTTGTTTCAAATATTTACGCTATAAAAATTTAAATTATCACTCACTAAATCACACAGTCAAGCGGTATTCAACTAATCATAAATTAGAATGACAAAATCAGTAATGATAATCCTGTTTATCGTCCGCTTGTTTAAGCTTTCTACAATATTTTAGATATAGAGACGGCATATATAAAAATAAATATATGAGCAAATATGTTTCACAGTGGTAATTATGACATTTTATTCATATCTCAATAAAATCACTAGCGCTAAAATTTGCCACTGTCTAGCAACACTTAATTTTTCACCCAACAATTCCGAGGAAGCTTGGGAGATTTTAAACCACACCAAAACGTTTACAGGGTGTGATTTAGTGGGTGGCGTCTCACTTCCAATGACAGGAAGCCGTATCAAACGTCATAACGCTCACCGTGGTATCGCATCTATCGACGTTTGTAATTGCCGCGAAGTGTAATTTTCCGGTGATCTATCGCTGGGGTGCTAATGCCATTTATCGTCTCGCCCGCGGTGCTGACGCCGCGTTGAATTACCAGTATAATCATCGACACGTCGCCCCACTTGCCCCGGGCTATGCCAGATGGGAAACTCTCCGCCAAAGTTGTTTATATTGCACTTTATATCAGGTATATATACTCTCCTTATATCACATTATTCTTATTCTGATATGCCTGTAAATGTTTTCTATATCTTCACAGTATTTTCACTTTACGTTGCACTTGCTTGCGTACATGATGCTCAAAGTTAGATATAGTGCTATTTACAGAACGGTGTTCTCTGAGCGAGTACTTTTTTTTTTGTGAGGAGGTGGCAAGCGAGCTCACACCGGTAGGGTTGCAGACTTTTAATAAAGTAGGGCCGGCTACCTCCCTCACAATACGAAACGCAGAAGTATAAAACACTTCAACTTAATGCCGGTCTTCTGTGAGGGCGTGGTGCTTACGGTACTTCTCTTCTCTGGATGGACCTGCCCATTCGTGCACCAGAGAACTGTTCCATGGCTCTACCACAGTTAACTGAGTTAACTTAAGATCGGTCTTAAATTAATGAATCCACGAAGAAGAAGGATCTAAGAAGATCATCAAGTGTGATGATAGAATTTTAAGTGGCGCAATTTTCTTGTGGCGTGGTACATGTAGGTTGTAATTTTGAGTTTTTTTTTTTTACATTTCAATCATTTATAGTTACAAATCATTATTATTATTATTATTGCAAAAAGCCAAAAATTTTAATATTTTATTGTTTACTTTAATAAAAAAAAATAAAAACGTAATAAAATAGTACGTGTGTAAAAATTATACAGCTGAAACATTTTTCGTCACAGCTTTCGTCTTCTGGGTATTATTATCTGAGCTAAGCTGCCGATATCCTCACACCGCGAAAATTTCGGCACCTATCAATTTTTATTTTGTATTTTTAACAATGCCGCAGAGTGTGCTACCATTCAGCATGCCGGCATTTTTAAATAACATTTTACAATGAATATAATCGATAGATGTCGCCTTTGCTATTGAAACTTAGGATTATTTTTTTAATTACGGTATCTGTGATCAAGATCGAATTAAAGTGTGAGTTTAATAGATAAATTTTTTAAAAAGATCTGCGCTGCGGTATTCGAACCTTATGTGTGTGTTAGACTGAGATTTTTAATGGTGAAGAAGCAAGTAATTATCTTATCTAATTTAAAATTAATCAACCAGTAGAAAAAAAAAAATAGATACCGTACTTCAAACTTTTATTACTAATCCTTTTTCAGAATGCAGTTCTTACCAAAGTGCAACAAAAGAAAATAGTATATAAGCGGTATTCTTTTGTTAGTGATACTATTTTTTTTAATATTTTTTTGGGACACATTTTTACACAACGTTCTCTAGGCCCAAACTAAGCAACGCTTGTACTATGGGTACTAGATAACTGATAAACATACTTAAATATACTTTTCTTTTGTAAATAAATACATATTATATATAAACACCCACTACAAAAACACTACGTTCATCACAAAATATTTTTCCAGTAGTGGAGATCGAACGGACAACCTCCGGCTCAGGAGGCAGGTACACTACCCACTACGCCATTCGGGACGTCCGCCGAGGTTCAGGCTAGGCGCCCCGAGCGTCCGGCCACCTCAAGTCCGGTGAAACTGTAAAGGCCCCTCAGGCCAACAGAGGCTCATCAAGCTCAAAAAAAATCGGGACGTCAAACAAAAACGAAATGGTTCAACAGAGTGAAAATTCAGTGCGGTTCTTTTAGTGTTTACTGTTTCTCTTACTTGTTAACAATTTCCTAATCTAGCTGTTTACATGTTGCATTTCTGAAATACGTGTGTGTATTTCACCATTCGAAGTAGTCGATGTGCGCACAAGAGTTCACGTTACCGCAGTGCTGCCTCTCCGTGAGGTTGGGGCAGTTGCGCCCGTCGCCGCGCCTCTCTCGGAGCACGCGACGAGTGCGGAACTTGTCGCCGAAGCCGCAGGTCACTGAACACGGCGACCATTCGCTCCAACCAGATACCACGCAGTCGTCAGCTATAAAGTAATCAGTATAAGGTTAACCTTATAATCTATACGCGCTCTTTTAAGCGAAGATTGAAGATGCAATGTATTATACATATAAACCTTCCTCTTGAATCACTCTAACTAGTAAAAAATAAAACGCATCAAGATCCGTCGCGTAGCCTAATCCCCATGTATGCTAACCTAACATACATGGGGATTAGGCTGGATTAGAGCCCTCATTACCGTCCATGAATCCATGACTAATGAGGGTTTTTGGTATCCAAATATCACTATGATATTTGTACCTAGCAAGAAACTAAATACACATAAAAAACTAGACATCAAAATTGAACACATCTCGTTGAGGTCAAAAGACATGAAAGCTAACAATAAAAAAGTATTTTATTGTAATGTAAACATTCCAAGGAAATTATTTATAAATAAGTGGTAACTCCACACATATAAAATTTCCTATCAATGTGATCTTTGATTTTTTAGGGTCTAAACTATAAGCTTAAAAAAGCCTTTCGAAAAGAAATGCATTAAGGAGGTATTGAAAACTTTATCATTCAATGAATTATATCTTACGTTGAATTCTGTTGACTGCATGATGCAGGCGAGATCTAAAATGTCTAGGTAGTCGCTTCCGAAGTCCTAAGCGTTGACCATTGGCCACTGCAAGCACCACGTCATCCATATTTTTCAGTTCGCTATCAAACTCGGTGTTAGTTGTGACCGGATTTCTATAAAAATATGTCGATACATATTTCTGCGGTATAATATTTTATATATAATACATTTAACATTATATAACATTATATAAGATTATATAACATTATACCACTTATTGTAGTGATGATTAAAAGAAAGAAGTCAATCATTTTGTTTTGGTTTATAAAACAGCAAAAAGTATTGGCCTTGACGTATGATTTTTAATTTAAATTTTCATTATATTACCCTTTTTCTTTTTTTAATGAAACAACAAAAAATTTAAACGTATACGGTGGTTATGGATTCATTAAACATTATCGTCTTACCTTGTAGAAGATTTCGTTACAACTTCCACATAATTTTCCGGTAAATTTGGTCTGGGAGTGCCTACGGGTTCCTCTTCTAGGTCAATTAGTTGGTCAAAATGATTTTTAGTTGTTGCCTCACGAATGTTATCAGCTAAATTACGAACCCCGTTAGATTTACTTTTAGGCAAACCTTTAAGCTTGTCTTTCATATGCAGATTGTTCAAAAGTTCCTTGCGTGCTAAATCGTTTACCTCTTTCGGCGAATACTCTTTTACCTGTAATTATGTAAACAATACAAGTGATAATTTGGTTAATTTACCTAACTCGGCTCTCAATGGAATTATTTTCGTTAGTGTGTAAACGATAGTGTTACTGTTCAGTTCTGTATCTTCGATTTTCTAAGCTTCTGTTGTGGCTGGATGAAATATATAAAAGTCACATCAATGATTCCTGGTTCAGTTTGTTCAGTGCTCTGTATATTTTGAGTTACGTGACAGTTTATCAAACATACCTTAGTGAGTTGAACTTTAGCTATAGGTGGAAGTTCCCTTCTATTTGGGTAATAGAAGCCAGCTGCAGGATGGTTTGGTTCACGAGGTTTGTGTCTAGAGACTGCTTCAGGGGGAGAATTTTCCCATCGAGGTGCAGTGAATGTAAGACCACTCGCTGCCCCGGCGTCCAAAGGGTCCAGCTTCAATAAGATGAATAGCTCTCATAACATAATAGCATTTACTACATACTTCTTGATCTTATAATACAGGACGGAATATTTATTTTTAAGGGGATCATAATCTACAATAGTGATGTAGACAGTTTTGAAATATTCAAGTCTTGTGCTTGCAAGTCTAGTGAATAGACCAAGGTCCCTACGAATTAAAAATTTTAGTATTGTTCAACACTTAATTAAAATTTTCGAATTAACTTATTTATAATTTGCTTTTCTAAATTAAAAATTATCAAATATCTAAAAGAGTTGATAATGGAACATAGCAAGCTGAATTTGTCGCAAGTTTAAATATAGAAAATATATTTATATTTAAAGCAAATTAATATTTCAACACATTCACAAATATTTTAATAAAAAATCTATACTTAAATAAAAAAATACGTTAATTTCAATGCTGCAGTGTCCTCGGATCTTTATAAAGGCCTGAAGTTACAGTAGTTTACACATTTCTCAAAAAGTTGTCTAAATATTTTAACTTTAAAAATATCTTACGTCTAGCACCAGTTGATCTACCCACGAAGAGTCCACACATAAGTCAAGGCTGTCAACACCAATGAACCAATCAGGTGATGGTATCATGCGGCATACCATGGATATCTGTAGATGATCGGAGAAGGATGAATATCGAACAAAGAATTTATGAAGTTGTTCTTCTTTGGCATATTCCAAAATAATGTTTGCTTTTAAGAATTTTAAAGCAATGCTTTTAAGAGTTTTCTGGAGTTAGTCTTCGCAGTGATACGAAATATTTTTTATCTTAATATAAAAAATTAAAAAAAAAAAAAACATTAATTGAATCGTTGTTAAATCTTTCGTCCGCTACAATATTCTTAGATTTTATGAATCCCAAGAATAATTATGTACTTTTCTACTAAAAGTAATTTCTAGCGATTTTTAACAAAACATTTTTACATACCTTGCTATGGTCACCATCAACGAATACCAAGTTCTCCGTCTTTCCTGTTCCACTTCCGACGGGAGGCGCTGAAAACTGATCATATACCCTTAGATCTTCTTCACCTTCCACTATCAAGTTATCCAGTTTGCCGTATTGTGCGAAATTTAAAACAGATTGCTTCGCTACTTCTCCAATGCGGAATAATGTGTAAGAATTGTTGTGGGATTGACCTAAAATGTTATAGTAAATTTATTATGAACCCATACAGAAATACTTAATCAAACTACGTTTTACTGCCTTATTCAAGTGTGTTTAACAACATATCGCAATAGCCATAGTATTGTAAGGGATAACGAAAGGCCATCATGCACCTCCTCCTGTTTTTATCCCACCTACGTGGGGTTGGCACAGTATGCAAATGATATTGACCTAACCTGGCAAATGTCACTAGTATTGACTATGTTTTTACGACCGACTTCTTGACGCCAACCCACCTTGATAACAAACATCCAGATTGTTATCTGTGGATCACACAAATACTTGACCGTGTGGGAATTGAAACTCATGACACAAAGCAACTGTGCCATCACGAAGAGCAACTAATGTAATATAGAGTGAAACAATAAATATCAGGATATTGTATCCGTTTAAGTACCCTTTCGCGTTTCACACTTTCAGAAAGGATCTACGCAAAAACAAAGAGCAGATAAAATGCTTCCCTACAAACAAAGAAAACTAGAGAGAAGTTTCCCCCTTATCCGTAGCGCTCAAGTGACATTTCACGATTTTACTTGTTCAAGATAAGGTCGTATTTATTTGTTTTCCTTTAGAGGAGGCAACGTGATGATGTTATCTAACGTAACTTGTTAGTGAGCCTATTGGTTTTGTGATTTTATGCTGAAATTTTGGAGATCAAAATAAAAAGAACTTGTTTATTATAACATCTGTGAAATAAGTAAGCCTTTGCTGCTGCTACTATCTAAAGTGACTGGACAATATTGAACAATTGAACCTACAAGTTTCATAAAACATGTTACAAATTTTGAAAGAAAAATGCTGATTATTATTTGGTGTTTCATGCAGTCTAATGTGATCCTATTTTTATTATGGCTATAGTAAGATAGGATATAGCCTAGATATAAAGGTTTTCTTGGAGTAGTGTATAGATTTACCACCAAGCCGGTAAATTAGTACTTAAAATTTTAATTAACTATTTCATCGAATATCGGCACTTACAAAATTACTCAATATAAATGGTATTTGAATAATAATATAATTCATTCACGCATTTTTTCATTGCACTTTCTTACATTAATTTGCTCGAAGACTTTAGAATACGCTTTACTACTACGCGACTAGTCAAAAAATAAAATCGGTAAAAAAAAAGACTATCAAAACTCAGTGAGTAAAAGAAAGACAAAGTTCAAATTAAAAATACTATCAAAATATACATACAGAGGTGGGCTTCTCTGTGGCAAACGCTTAACATACAGCCAATTTACTGTGCGTGTAGTGGTTCGATTTATACCTACAGTACATAAATACGAGTTCGGTATACATTTGGTATGTAAAATATCATATTAAAAAACATGAACATAGCCGTGTCCACATCTGATTCACATTTTATGTTCATTTACTCGACAATTATTTCAAATATATTTCGAGAGATTAATTATAATTCCACAAAACAGTAATAAAATCAAAGTGTGAGGCAAGATGATTTGCATGCTTTGTTCGACTGAATTCAAATCCAATGATCTGTAAAACGCTCCGATAAAGGTAAAACTACAGTGAAACTTTCGAAACAAATTCTGCCACACGTTTCAAACTTTATTTCAAATACTCCCTTTGGCCTTTTTAGTTAGCAGAGACATTTGTAACACGTAAATGAAGTTCGGCAAATTGTTGGATTTAATATTTTAACGCAAAGTTGTAAAATGAGTACAGATTTTAACCACTTTTCCTAAATTTCGTGTTTAATACTGCAATCTGATAGTAGCTCATAAGATTGAAAACCAACAAAATAGATTATATCATAGATTGAGACATAGGGAAAATAATTTGTTGCATTTATGCAAAACTTATTTATTAAAACTTCACTTTCGCTAAATTAAAAAAAATTATATATAGCTATAAAAATTATATAAAAATTAAACATATAAAAAAAAAATTTTAATTTTCTCGGAAGGAAATATAATACAAGCTTCATGTTATAATTTCACAGAAACCTTCTACGGCATTGAAATTACCAAAATGTATTTAGTCATTCGACGAATACGAAATAACCTTGATGAAAAACGTTTTCTGCGTATAGTTCAATTGCTACTAAATATAATTTTGATAAAAACGTTGAAATTAGGTAACTTTTTTTTATAGCTTCATATGTGATGAGAAGGTCATATTCAAAAATTTAATTAAATTAATTTTTTTTTCAAAACAATTCGACGATTTTTCCACTCGCCACCTCTTGCGGTGTTATTCGTATAATCATTAGAGTTCACAGTTACGCATCGAGTCCTTGCCAGAAAATACTTATCTATTATTTGGGTAGCGAAAACATTGACTCACGTTTAGATAAACGGACTTTAGCACACAGGCTTTGTGGACAATCAAACTCGTATAAACTTCGTCCCATCGACTGATTCCAACTTTATTATTGTTTAATTGTGATAGCCTTATTTATATAACACTAACTTTCTCGCCGTGGACAAAAATATTATAAATAAGTGTGGAAGAAAATTCTAAAGATAAATAATAATTTAACAACAGACAGAGAATACAATAATTTATCTGTGCATTTTAAGTTACATCATAATTGCAGAGAATAGCACTAAAAATAAAATTTTATTCACTTAATTATTAAGGGTAAAAACGTTTAATATCTAATGCGTATTTAGTACTTCATATAGTTTATTTATTATAAATTCAATATGCGCGTTGTTGTATTGGCATCTAACAAAAAAACGTCAACATTGGCGACAACTCCCTGGCGCAGTTGTCGATTTCGCTTATGAATCTTATTATGAAATCTTGTATTGGCTTAGGCACCGGGTGTCGTGGGTTCGATTCCCACACGAGACAACTACTCGTATTTGTGTGACCCACAGATAATTTATGTAATATATAGAAATTTATGTAAGTATGTGAAACGTCTTTACAAAAGAGGAAAACTATAAATCTAGTTAGATTTATTAATTTAGTAAGCTATATTATCGTTGACTTTATTTTATTTTAGCATTAAGTGGCACATTCAAAGATTTTATTGTTATTAAACAATATCATAGGCAAAGGAATTAAGTTCTCCCTTTGTAACCCTTTTGAGGTGTTTTCAATAAAGAATAAATAAATAAAAATAAAATAAATCATATAAGTATACTTTATTGTAGTAAACATTTCTTATTTGAGATAATTTTTTTCATAATTTAAAATCATTTTTTAGCAGAAAAAGTTTATTAAAAAACATTTTATTAAAATAATTCACAAGCACTTAACATAATTCATTTCATAAATAATATAACTAATTTTACTTGAATTATAATTTTTATCTGAATGATCAATCGATCCCAATGCAATCGACTTATTTAAAAAACTAACAAATTTTCAATTTTAATTTTCTAGCATTGAGAAATGGCACATTCGTGAGGCGGCGGTAATCACTTAACATCAGGTGAACTGCCAGCTCGTTTGCCACTTTCTCACATAAAAAAAGAAAAGAAAACATAACAAAATATGCTCTTAATACATTATTTTCACTGAAATTAATAATAATTGAATATGTCTCATTTACGGTGTTCTCTTAATAATGGATGTTAGTTTTTTTAATTGTATGACTTTATGACACATTTTGACTTTATGACACAATATTACCTTTTTAACATATTAACAATTTCTACGTTGAAACTTGTACTAACCGAATACAGACGACCATTGAGCCTTAGGGCGTTGTGCCGGATAGTCCTTTGGGAACGTTTCTTCACTCCACAACATTTGCACTGTGACTTGGTAAACCGCCATGTCTACGTCACAGCCGTAGCATGTGCGGAAAAAAAGAAAAATGGCTGCCATTTGCAAGTTGACCATTGTTACGGACGCACGCATTTGTACAGCGATATATCTTATGTCTTTTTTGCTAAAATATTAATTAATGTAAGACTCTGAGATTCGAAACAATATGTCGCATGCTTGGAAACTTTCACCTCACAAGCGTACGTGCGTACACCGACTAAGAGAGTGGGCTTTTCTATTTCGAGATCTCTTTGCCGCAAAGACAGAAATAAACATTTGGTGACGGTCCTCCTGTTTGTGAAATTGTTTCTGCATCTGTAATGCTTAGACATACACACTATATTTTTGAGATTATTTAATTAATAATCCAATTAAGTACATGAGTAAGTACATAAGTCATCGATTTGAAGTTTTAATAATGCTGGTGGTTTTTCATGCAAAAGTTCTTAGTGATTATTACAACTGCATTTTGTAATCCTAATTATTACGTTCCCGGAAAATTGTTAAGCTGAACTGTTAAGTTTTATTTGTTATTATATTTAAACATTACTTATATACTTCAATAACAATTTTTTTTATTTAATAATTTTGGGGATTGAATTGCTTTTTTTTAGCAAAATTATAGACAACACATGAATATCATTTGTTTGGACTTAAAAATGTCAGTAACTATATACGAATGGCAATCAAGACGATAAAGGAGTTACATGTCTATTTTTAAATTATTTGATAGCTTGAAATGAAAGTACTTGGAATTTGAAACTAATAACAAATTATACTTTCAAAAGGATTCAAAATATTAATTTGTTTTATTCACGACAATTTAAAATGTATCGTGATTTCAGAATCAAAAGAGCTTTTCTGTAAATAATCTTGTCAACGTTAAATTCGAACGTGATACTCAGTCCGGTATGGTCAAGTGGCTAGGATACCTGGCTCTCACCCAGGAGGCTCGGGTTCGATTCCCGGTACCAGAGGAACTTTTTGTTAATTTAATATTTTTACGTTAAATTTACCAGTTTATAAGTTCTGGTTTTGGTGGCCCTTTATTGTAACTTTGATTGGGATGGGTGATTCCTATTTTTGCCAATGAAGAAAGGCAGTACTTGACATCGGAATATCCAATTATTATTAGTTGGAATCACCGAAATTCTATGGTGTAAAGCTTGTTTATGATTGAAGTTAATTTTATTATACTTGTAATATTTGCTTGGACTTAACTGTATATAAAATTTTGTCAAATAAATAATTGATCTTATTAATTATTTATTTGACAAAATTTCATTCATTCATCACCCTCATCATTTCAGCCTCTTTTCGTCCTCTGATGATAGGCCTTGTGGACAGATTGCCACGAAGCACGATCCAGAGTTATCTGCATCCATGGACTTCCATATTTGTAAAATTTGTCACTCATTCTACCCGTAATGAGGGGTCGTCCTACACTGCGGCGGCCAATAAGAGGTTGCCGTGACCCTTTCTTGTCCATCGGTTATTGGTTCTACGAGATATATGGCCGGCCAGATATAATGCCGCTTTAGCTTATCAATATTTGTAGCTATGTCGGTTACCTTTATTGTACTGCGGATATCTGCATTGCGAATACTATCACGCGGGGAAACACCGAACATAGACATTACCGCGCTTAGCACTAGTTCAGCTAAATTCAACCTATTAAATTATAAAACGGAAGAGCGAAGTAATCACGATAGAAATTAAAACTTATCCATAACGCTGGTTTCTGTTTTAATCAAAGAAAACGGTGAAAAGGATTGAAAAAAAATTGTTTTATTAAACAGAATACCACTAGCTACCAAAACTTTTTGTCTGGTTCGTCCATTAATTAAATTGAGATAAAAATTTTATTGTGACTTAATCATATCTCAATATGTACAATATTCAATCTAATTAAATTACATATTATCTAATAAACCTAGTCTACCCGGCATGGTGTCAAGAACGCTAGCTGCATTTCCCCAATGGATACTAACACTATTTGAGCGAGAAAAGAACATGCCCACTTGTCACCAGGTAAAGATAAACAACATTGAAAAAGTTGGGATTTGTACAAATATACTAATGAGCAATTTATGTTATACAAACATCCTCCGGTATGGTCTAGTGGCTAGGATACCTGGCTCTCACCCAGGAGGCTCGGGTTCGATTCCCGGTACCGGAATAGATTTTTGTGTTTTTAAATGTTTTTTTTTTAAATATTTCAGAACACATTTTCACAACGTTCTCCAGTCTCAAACCAAGCAACACTTCTACTATAGATAACCGATAAACATACTAAATATACTTTACTTGTGTAAATAAATACATACCATAAATATTTAAACACCCAGACACTAGAAAAGCATGTTCTTCGCACAAATTTTTCCAGTAGTGGGGATCGAACCCACACCTCTGGTGCAAGAGGCAGTTTCACCGGGTCTTTTATAGATATAAACTCTAGTAATTTAAAGGACTGCAACTTATTCCATTTTAGTAACCAAAGTTTTATTTTCACAATGACATTATTATAAAGAAAACAAATAGTTAAGTTAGTATAAATTACATCAAGTTATATCTCTATTATACCATAATGTATTACTATGAGTGTCTTCAGTTTAAACAACTGACAGGTCCAACAGAGGACGTCGACACCAGACGAACTTGACCAATTTAGCTCGTTTCGTTCATAAAGACAGCGCACTGTTACTCAAAGACGTTCGACTGACGCATTGGTAATAGTTTTTCTTTCATAATTGAGGAATGGCGTGATCCTTTATGTTTATTTTTAGACTTTATTAGTGTGTTTCTTGTTAAGAACTACATTTAACGCTCCAAAGAGTATCTTGTGTAATTAAGTTGGTATCGTATCCTCGTTCTAAATTATTGTAGAAAAATAACAGAGTTACTGGTAAATGAGGTAACCGAAGGCTCACATTGTCAGTGGTTAGCAACAAGTCTGCAACACTTCTCGTGTTGCAAGCTGTCCATGGGCAATATGAGGCTAAGGCCCATTTACACGACGCCATTTTCTTGTACATACAAGAGCAATAATTGAATGCAATAAATTGCGCGCAATAATTGACCATCAAGAATTGTAAGCAACAGTTTACACGCAGATATAGTAAAAAAAATTTTTTGCGATTATTGAATGCAAGTCTTGACAAGAAATAATTGCAAATGTCTTTTGTTTACATCAATGCAATCATGTTGGCGAATTAGGCGATTATAGCTTTCAAGTTTTGACTTATCTAAACACATGCTTGTATGTGCGTGTACAATTTATTGGCGTGTTGCTTCAAGTATTGTATTGTATTGTATACAAATATTTCATTCAAGTGTTGAACGTTTTGAAAAGGGCCGTTTTTAAAAAAAATGGGTTAATAATAAGTGTTCAAGTTAGATTATGCCGATTTAATATATTTCATTGAGATTTATTTATTATTATCCATATAATTATTATTAATATTTTATCCAACATTTTTACGACCTTTACTCAATATTTCTTGCCTCAAAAGAACAGCACAGATTAAACACCCTCATTCATCGCACTCATGTTTGCAAAGGAAGAGAGAATGCAATTGAATACAAGAATTGTTTAAGAAATTATTGTGTGTGCTGTTTACACCAAGGAAAGTTTTGAAACAAACCTTGAAACAAGTCTTGTTCAACAGTCAAGAATGTTATGTGTTGTTTAGACCATGCAACTCATTTATTGCTTCAATTTAATTGTATACAACAGGCAAGAAACTGGCACCATGTAAATGGGCCTTGATTAAGACTTGCATGATAACTTCATTGCATATAAAAAAGAGATAAAAACTACAAAAATAAGGGAATTATTACGACCCTGAAAAGCAGCGTAATATATAAACGAAATAAGGCATAATTAATAAGACAATATTTTAGTGCAAAATTTTTTTATTAAATTGCGTGGAGTACGCAACACTCGAAACGTTTAAAATCAAATAATAAGTTGGTACTGTTATAATAAATTATTGAGTAATAATATTATTATATATTTCTCATCATTTCGTAATCTTTTTGCTGTAAAGGCGTTTCTTGTAAAACGATTTATCATTGGGATGTAACAACGTCTTGAGGGGATACAAACCCATATGGGGTGAACGACTGGATAACCAAATCCAACAGACCTCTTAAGAACGTCTTTAGAAACTGAATTATAGTCAACAGAGTGGAGTTATGTAGATTGGAAATGCCATATACGTTTTTCATCACTCACACTATATTCACATCATTTTTTAAAAGCAAACGATTTGCCTAACCTAATGAAATAAAATATATGGTAAAAGTAAATTATAATATACATGCATTGAAATGGCTACTATTTTAGTTTTATACAATGATGATTTCTCTGTAATTAAAGAACCAAAAATAGTTTATAAAAGTTGACCAAAAATAGACAGACCCGTACCTTTTCCACTTAAAATGCCCTTTTAAATGGGATAACTACCCTTATGATGGGTTGAGCTACTGGTTATGTTGATCTTTTATTTGGAAGCATAAAAAATATGGATAGGAAACACAAAGTCGGTTAAATAAATAATATAATTTAATCATAATTTTACGAGCTTATATACAGTTAATCAATTCTTTTCCGATACATAATTATGCTACGCAGAGGTCTAGCAACAGTGGCGGTGCATATCTGTTTTAGGCGGCTTACGTAAAATCCCCAGTTAGCAAGGGGTGCGTCGTACAACGGTTTATCTGAAGATAAGAAGGTACCTGCCCCCGTTTCATGAGTTTAATTACATTTCTGCGCGCTTAGCTTTGTTTTGTTTATTTAGAAGATCTAAGGAAGTGCACGCAGAATGGGGGAATAATTCACATGTAAAATGATGCTAAAGTATCTTCGTTTCAAAACAAAAATTTGATCCCTTTGGCTTATTATTGTTGATAGTGTAAAAAAAGCTTTTCCCCTGGACAATTTATTTATCAACACAAAAGGGAAACATTTGCCGCCTCACGAACAGTTACATTTTTATTTAATA